GGCGCCGGGGCTTTGGGGGGCTCCGTCCCCCCATCCCGGGTGTCCCCGCAGCGTCCCCCGCAGCGTCGGCGGCGCCAATCCCGTGCGTGGTTCGAGGAGATTGAATCGGATCCGAAGGCATCAAAGTTCCCTCTTTGCAAGCGCTTCCAACGAAAGGCTCGGCCCCTTTTCCCTTCTCCCAGCAGTTCTTCCCTCCGGGCGCCGCCGCCGCYTTCACTTCCTGCGGTCCTTCTGTTTGCGCTCCTGGCGGCGCGGCTGCGGCTCCGCGGTGGCGGCGGCGGCGGAGGTGGAGGCGGCGCGGGGGATGAGCAGCACGCTGCCGTCGCTGCCGTACTGCAGCGCGTACTGGCTGGGCGAGTACGGCCGGCCCTGCTCGTCCCGCAGCCGCCCAAACACCTCCTGGTACAAACTCTGCACCTTCTGCTTCATCTGCCGGATGGATTTGAGGAACTCCACCTTCTCGCGGAGCAGCTTGGATTTGTCGCGCTGCAGGTCCTCCACGTCGCGCTCCAGGTTGAGGATGGTGTCCAGTTTCCTCTTGCGGCAGTTCTGCGCTGCCATCTTGTTCTTGCCGCGCCGGCGGATGTCGCGGATGAGGCTGAGCTGCGCCTCGCTCAGCTGGTACTTGGACAGCAGCTCGTTGAACTCCTCCACGGGCAGGTTGATGATTTTRTCGTTGGTGAAGGGGATTTTCATGGCCCTGGCGCGGTGCTCGTCGCGGCTCAGCTGTTTGTCCAGCAGCTCCGACGGTTTTTCCTTGCCGCTCTTCTTGGCGGCGGCGGCGCCGGGCGCTTTGGGCTCCTCGGGGTCCAGCGCTCCCGGGGCCATGTTGTAGGTGTGGTTGTGGCCCACGTGCTCCAGGTAAGGCAGGTAATGCAGCTGCTGCGCCGGCTCCTGGTAGCTCATGCGGCAGAATTTGCTGTACTCGGGCTGGTAGCCCACCGCCCCTTCCGCCTCCTCAAAGTCCACGTTCTCCGAGTCCGAGCTGTAGCCCACGGCGCCTTCCTCAGAAAACGAGGAGGAGGAGGATGATGATGAGGAAGAAGACGAGGAGGACGAGGCTTCCGAGCTGCTCAGGGACGCGGGGCTGTGGCCGGAATCCAGGGAAAGGCCCGAGTCGGAATCGAACTCCTCCTCCAGCTGCGAGGCCTGCACGGGGTTGAAGCCCTCCTCGATGGCCAAGTCCATCAGGCTGATCTCATCCAGCATGGCCTCGTCCAGGAGCCCTCCCAGCGGGTCGGGCAGCTCSGGCGCCGCCGTCTCGTTGCCCGTGCTGTTCATCTGCGGCGGGAAGAAGATGCCGCTCAGGTTGGTGGAGCCGAAGGTGCCGTTGAGGCCGGTGGAGTTGTCGGGTGCCAGCTGCAGCAGGGCCGAGCCGCCCGCCATGGAGGGGCTCTCGATGTCGGGGCTGAAGAGGGAGAAATCCTGCGAGCAGCCGCCCAGCGAGGCCTGATGCAGGCTCACGTTCTGGTTGATGGGCGTGCCGGGGGCCAGGCTGAAGTTGGACGTCAGCAGATCCCCGCCGGTGCTGCTGCCGCCGTAGAGGCTCTCGGCGCTCGTGCTGTTCACCTCCATGGCCTGCAAGAGACGCGGCAACAGCTCCGTGGAGCGGCTCCGTGGAGCTGCTCCGGGGAACGGCTCCGTGGAGCGGCTCCGTGAAACGGCTCTGTGGAGCAGCTCCGGTGCCCGGCACAGCTCCGCATCTCTCGGGAGGAGCTCACAGTGTCACCACACGGAGCGGGACAGCCCCGAGCAGTGACAATCCCTCAGGAGGAGCTCACGGTGTCACTGCATGGAGCGGGACAGCCCCGAGCTGTGACAATCCGGGAGGAGCTCAAGGTGTCACCGCATGGAGCGGGACAGCCACGAGCTGTGACAATCCGGGAGGAGCTCAAGGTGTCACCGCATGGAGCGGGACAGCCACGAGCTGTGACAATCCCTCGGGAGGAGCTCATGGTGTCACCACATGGAGCAGGACAGCCCCGAGCCGTGACAATCCCTCGGGAGGAGATCGAGGTGTCACTGCACGGAGTGGGACAGCCCCGAACCGTGACAATCCCCCCGGAGGAGATCGAGGTGTCACTGCACGGAGCGGGACAGCCCCGAGCTGTGACAATCCGGGTGTCCCCAGAATTCACACCTGGAGGTTCCCAGCCCCTCCCGGAGCTCTCACCTGCATCTCCATGATGGACATGAGGTCCTGCCACTGCTGCTCCAGGTCGAAGGGGGACTCGCTCTCGGCCAGCAGAGGGGACAGCAGGCTCGGGGCACCGCCCGGGGCACGGCTCTGCCCGGGCACGGTCTCGCTCAGGGCGGAGACATCCGCGGCTGGGAACTGGGAACGGCACGGACATCAGGGGATGGACACTCGAGGACACTCGGGGATGGACACCCGGGAATGAGCAGGGACACTCGGGGATGGACACTCGGGAATGATCAGGGACACTCGGGGATGGACACCCGGGAATGAGCAGGGACACTCGGGGATGGACACTCGGGGATGGACATTCGGGAATGATCAGGGACACCCGGGGATGGACACTCAGGGACACTTGGGAATGGACACGGGAATGATCAGGGACACTCGGGGATGGATGCTCAGGGATCCTTGGGGACACTCAGAATGGACAGAGATGCTCAGGGATGGACGCTCGGGGATGGACGATTGGGGAAGGACCCTTGGGAACACTCAGTGATGCTCAGGGATGGACAGGGATGCTCCGGCATGGATGCTCAGGGACACTCAGGGATGTTCAGGGACACTCAGGGATGCTCAGGGGTGGACAGGGATGCTCGGGCATGGATGCTCAGGGACAATGAGGGATGTCTGGGGACACTCAGGGATGCTCGGGGACACTCAGGGATGTTCAGGGACAATGAGGGATGTCTGGGGACACTCAGGGATGCTCGGGGACACTCAGGGATGCTCTCAGGGATGTTCAGGGACACTCAGGGATGCTCTCAGGGATGCTCTGCCATCCCAAGCCCATCGCCCTTCCACCACAGGGCTGTGACCGTTCCCACCCGTTTCACCACGAACTAACGAGCAGCAAAGCCGGGAGGTTTTAATTAACRCCGCCCCCCCTCCCCGGGTGGTTCCTCAGGACGCCTGGAGCCTCGGGCAGCGCCCAAACCCAATCTGAGGGCGCGGGAGGCACCGGAATGGCGGYGAGAGAGGCTGGGGATGCAGCTGAGGGCTCACCTCGGAATTGTCCCCRAACGGGAAGGTGGCCTCCAGCAGCCTAAGGCACTCCTCCAGGGACAGCGCAGTCTGATCCTCCGCACCGGGCACCTGCCAGGGGAAGGAAASGCCAGGGAGCCGTTGAGCCGCGGGCTCGGGGAGGGCCGTGGTGCCGGGGAACGAGCTCCCTTCCAGCAGGGATTCATCACAGCGCATCCAAAAAAGAGCCGGAGGCCCCACCCAGCGCCTCCTGGCAGCCTCCATCCTCCCGCTGCTCCGGGGAAGGCGCCGCTCCCGGCACCTCCTGCCTCACYGGGCCGAGGGGACGCTGCGGCTGCGACCCCGAGCGAGACAACCACGGGGACACGCGGGTGGCCCTGCCCAAATCCTGTCACCCCRGCCGGGCAGGGCAATCCCTGGCGCTCTGGGAAGGGCCCCGGGCTCCCCAAGCCCGGCTGGCCCGGGGCTGTTACCTGCGCAGGGAAACTCTCCCCGGTCTCTCCATCAACTAGCGGGATTCTATCCAAGACCTCATTCCCTGCACTCCTCCAGCTGTCCCCGCGCTCCCTCCCATCGCTCAGCTCTTTGTCCACTTCGCTCTCTTTCTGACGGTGGCTGTAGTCAAAAATCTCTCGCCCAGCGCCGAGATCAATATCCTGTCTCCACAGGATGTCAATCAAATCGATGTCCTGCAAGACAGACCACATTTCCTTCAGCCCCCGGCCCGGCGGCTCCTCCCGAGGGACCCCCGCCCGCCCGGCGCCCGGCCCGCAGCCCACCCTCCGGTGTCCCCGCCGGTGTCCCCGCCGCTGGGGCCGGGGGTGGCCGCGGGCTGGCCGGGAGCGGCTCCGCGGGCTCCGCATGGCCGGTGCTGCCCTGCCCGCCGCCCATGTTGGCCCGCCCGCCGCCGGGGGAGGCGGCGGGGGCCGCCCGGGCCCGCGTCGCGGCGGTGGCTGCGCCGTGCCCGCCTTGCATCAGCCCGTGGTGCCATCCCGGCCATTTGCATAAGGGGTGGGGTGGCAGGAAAATCCCCGCATTCCCACCCACCTGATGCAACTTGAGCCGCCGCCGCCGCCGGGGCCCTGCCCGCTGCCCCCCGGGCAGCACCCCCGGGCACCCCCGCAGCCCCCCGCTCCCCGGGGCGGCCCCGGTACCTTTCTCATGTCCCCAGCTGCCGCCCGGGCCGCGGCGCACGCCGATCATGGTCCCCGGGGGAGGAAGAGGAGAAGGAGGAGGAGGCGG